TATATATATATATATATATATATATATATATATATATATATATATATATATATATATATATATATATATATATATATATATATATATATATATATATATATATATATATATATATATATATATATATATATATAGACGTGTTTTAACGATAATTCTAGTAAATAATGTAAATAAAGTATATGATTGGTTCGAAGAGCGCCTAGAGATTCAGTCGATTGTGGATGATATAACGAGTAAATATGTTCCTTCCCACATCATTATTTTTTACTCTTTAGGTGGAATTGATTCAATTGCTAGTACCTAGACTTTGGTTCTTGTGTTTTAACGATAATTCTATTTCGTCAGATATGATTTGTCGTCTCTAAAACACAAATATAGATTGGAAACTATGACTAATACTTAATAATTATTCACTATTTAGATCAGACCTCGTGCTGGGGTTCAAAAACATTTGGACACTACATATAATAAAAAAAATGATATTTTTTTCGCAAAAATTATATAAGTGAAAATAAAAAGGTTCTTACTCAAGGAATCCTGACTTGCATTTCGGTTTTTTATTGAATCATCAATCATCGTGATTCAAAATTAAGAATCTGCGGTTTTTTTCAAGTCATAGGGTCTTAACGAAGTAATTTCTATCAAATAAAATAAATGAAAAAAAAATGGTAGGGAAAGAGCAAATTCAAAACGCCCGTCAAAATCAAGAAAATGACGAAGGAGCTAACTTGATATTTTGGTAATAGTGCGACAACAATAATAAATAATTGATCAATTTAGATTTTTATTGAAATTGCGAGATTAATGAGTTTCAATCGGAATTTCAATTCAATTTCATTTGGTATTGGGGCATTTTTGCTTGAGCTGTACGAGATGAAAATTTCCTATACAATTTTGAGAGGAGGATTCAACCTATCTCAATAATGTAAATAAAGTATATGATTGGTTCGAAGAGCGCCTACAGATTCAGGCGATTGCGGATGATTGATATAACGAGTAAATATGTTCCTCCCCACGTCAATATATATATATATATATATATATATATATATATATATATATATATATATATATATATATATATATATATATATATATATATATATATATATATATATATATATATATATATATATATATATATATATATATATATATTTATATATATATATATATATATATATATATATATATATATATATATAAATTTTTTATTAACTAGTTTGAAGGTACACGTTTGGGGAGGACATGACCAATGCCCCAAAAGTAAGACAAATAGCAAAATTACAGACAGAATGACGTAAGGGAAAAACAAAAAGAGCTTCGCAAGTCATGTGGCTCCATCTTCATTGGCGTTTTGATTCCTCCGAGCCATATTCAGACATAATTGGAGTCCCTGTGCTGTGAGTGTCTCATCTCTGATCATCCAAGCTTTTTTCCTGTACTTCCAGCACCAAGAATTGATCATTGCCTTGATGTCCATTGTGATTGAGAAGAGGTTTACCGCTTCATTTCCGAAGGCCGTGGCTGCATACTGTTTCCAGGTACACCAAGCAATCACTCCTGGGAGTATGTTTCTAGGATTGCCCTTAATTGTGTTAGCTTGAGATCTCAGCTGCCATTCCATCAGGTATTGATTTAAGCTAATCTCCTCCCTCAGTCTTGGTCCATCTAATATAGTTGCATAAAAGCTCCAAATGTTCTTGATTTCATCACATTGTAGTAGGCAGTGGTTCATATTAGCTTCATTCTTCTTGCAGAAGGGACATTGAGAAGGCATGTGAACTTGGAATCTGATTAAATTTTCTGGGAAAGGTAAGATCTCATAAGACATGTCTTTGGATCTTTCTCTTCAACTTTACAACATTGCATTACTTATTTGATACGAATAGTTGAAGTGAATTTTCTGAAAATCAAATGGATTATGGGAGTGTGTGACTTGAACTATTGATTGGGCTATGCAGATATATTCTTTTATCTGCCGCATTGGAATTCGAAACAGAATGTGTCTTTGTGCCACCCACCATGTAAGCCTCATAGAGAGGATAGGCGGGTCCCTTAAAGAGAATCTTTTCTATGATTCGACACGATCATGTCGTGCATGGCATGAACAGGCTCCGTAAAATCCAGTAAAAGAAGTGATGGGTTATAATCCAGATTCTTGGATAGATATATATACTATACGTAATGTAAATGCATTCATTTCCTATGCATTGACCCGATTTATGAGACTATTGGAGTGAAGCAAGGGATCTAAAGAGGAGTGGGGGCTAGACTAGAATGAGTAACAAGAAAATCCTGTGTATGGAAAAAATATCGAGATATTTTTTGAAAAAGCCACTCACAAGGGCTGAGACGACCCATAAAGCGCTTGATCATGATCAACTTTGTAATTGTAAGCCTACTTGGGTATGGAGCATTCACCTGTAAGAACTGAATTCCTTGTAGAATTTCGTGCGTCTCTGGAAAACGGAGGTCCCTTTTTCATTATATATATATAAGCACATGGATAACATATGGATTCCTTCCCTTCCTTTGATTCTTGCTCGAGCCGGATGATGAGAAATTATCATGTCCGGTTCCTTCGGGGGATGGATATATAAGAATTCACCTATCCCAATAACAAAAAAACCCGACTTGAATGATCCTGTATTAAGAGCTAAATTGGCTAAAGGAATGGGCCATAATTATTACGGAGAACCCGCGTGGCCCAATGACCTTTTATATATTTTTCCCGTAGTCATTCTAGGTACTATTGCATGTAACGGAGGCTTAGCGGTTCTAGAACCATCAATGATTGGTGAACCCGCTGACCCATTTGCAACTCCTTTGGAAATCTTACCTGAATGGTATTTCTTTCCCGTATTTCAAATACTTCGTACAGTACCCAATAAGTTATTGGGTGTTCTTTTAATGGTTTCAGTACCTGCGGGATTATTAACAGTACCCTTTTTAGAAAACGTTAATAAATTCCAAAATCCCTTTCGTCGGCCAGTAGCCACAACCGTCTTTTTGGTTGGTACTTTAGTGGCCCTTTGGTTGGGTATTGGAGCAACATTACCTATTGAGAAATCCCTCACTTTAGGTCTTTTTTCAATTAAGTAATGATTCAACTGTGAAGGAGTAGTCGCTCGCCTTCAAGCGACTACTCCTGAGAGACCAAAGGCCTCTGCCCTCCCTCTCTATTTACCCAACCAACTACCCAA